CCAGACACGTATGGCTTCCGTTGGTAAGCGTCTTCTTTCTCGAACGATTCTGACGACCTTTCTGGCGCATCAGGAGTCGAGGTGTCGTGGGCGAGAAGCTTGGTTTGGGGCCTGTACTATATATATAGGAGGCACTCTCGCTTGACCGCAAGCAGCTACTCTTGTAGAAAGGACCCTGCAGGCTTCTCCCAGTTGCCTTGCTCGGGCGAGATGTACCCACACCACCCACCCTCGTACCCCATCGTCTGTGCTTGCCGCATGCAAGACGACGCCAGCTTGAGCAAATACGACCGCTCAGCCCGTGGATCTGACATCGTCGACTGTAGCTCCTCCTTGATTCGGGTGTAGCTGCGCAGCAAAGTCGTTTCCTCGTGTGCCCTCGAATGGGCGAGTTACGACGAGGAGTAGCTCACTGGCCCGAACCGTCCCATCATCCAAGAAGCTACTTGGTGACGAAGGGTCATCTGCGGTGGCGTATCACCCTCGCATCAGTCGCGTCGGCGTGGGTTGCCGTTCGACGACAAGAACCGCCTTCCACGCCGTCTCGTCCAGCCTTGTTTTTTGCATTTGGCAACGGATTTAATGATAATGCATTGGTCGAAGTATACAAGACCGTAGGTAGAAGCAGAGTAGCCGCATATTCTACTCGACAATATAAGTGATCCGAGCGCGTTGCTCGTGCTCAGCTTTCCTCATTCTTTGATTTGACCCGTCCTCCTCCGTCTCTACCGCTCGATCGCCATGGGCCGCAAGAAGAGCAAGAAGAGCGAACGCAAGAAGCAACGTCCGTCGAACGGCCTGTCGAACGGCCTGTCGAACGGCCTGTCGAACGGCCAGCCGAAGGACCTCCACCACAAGTCGTCCAACGTCGAGATGCAATCAAGCCAGCTGGACGCGACGGCCGAGGCCTCGACGCCGACCGCTGCGCCGCCGACGTTCGCCGTGATGGACGGCGCACTTACCCTCGACGGTCTCGCGGCGGCAGCCAAGGTCTTTTGCGCCCATGACGGCGAGATGTCTCCGATGCTCATTGCGCGCAACGTGCCGCTGATCGCGTGGCGTGATGACGAGACGCTCAACGCCCGGCCGTTCCACGTCATCTTGTTTGCCACGTTCAAGGGTGATCCTCGGGACCCGGCGACGCTGGCCACGATCTACATCGCCCGACGCACTCCCGGTCGCGCGCATCAGCAGGCTTTGGCAAACACGATGATCGATCTCGGCATCCAGGCAATCAACTTTCGCGATGCGTTCTACATTGGACCTTCCAAGCGGCTCACGATCAGTAATGGTGAAGTGCGCGAGCCGGACATGGCGATCTTCCAGCGCATTGATGGGTGGAAGAGCCTTGCGCATCCGTGCTTGGTGATGGAGCTCGACCACGAGAACCGCACGTTCCCGGAGCTAGAGACGTGGACCCAGGGGTACATTAGCGTCCAGATCCACACAGCTGTCGGCGTCAAGATCTTCAGCAACCAAGGCGGCGAGGTTGGTCGCTTTGGCGCCGTCGCGCTCATGTACGTTCTTGGCGAAGACGGCGCTGCGACGCTCCGGTTTGCCGCGAGCATTGGCACGGCGCCGCTCACGCGTCAATCTTTGCGCGGGATAAGCGACGAGGTGCGTGCCGCGATGCAGCATTTCGAAGACGGGGTTGCGCACGAAGCGGCTCTGCACCATGTGCGCTGGGCCCACCCGACGCTGGCTCCGCCGCGCATCGAGCTCACGGTGGACGATCTCTGGTACCAAGATGAAGACAACTTGCTCGGCGCGGCGCCGCCGAATCTCACGAGCCTCTTCATCGACCTCTACACCGTCGCCATGAGTGCGTATTCCGCCATGACCTAGCCTGGTAGCATGTAGGGAGCGTCCCCTTCTTGAGACTAGGTAGCCAAATGCATCAATACA